ATATATTATTATATATATTATATATAAATATATATATAATTATTATATTTTGTGATCTAAGATTACTAAGTTTCTAATTAAAGAATGGATTTACCTGGAAATCCCCTTTCCCCCTTTTGCCCTATGGACCCTGGACTGCCTTGGGCTCCTTTTTGTCCGAGAATTCCGGGGCCACCCGGTATTGGTCGTCCTGGTATACCGAGAGGGCCTGGCCAGCCTTTTGCTCCCTTTTGACCAGTAAGCCCTTGTGGCCCTGGGAAGCCGATGTTGCCCTTCTCCCCTCGCAAGCCGTCTCGACCTTCCTGACCCGGGAAGCCAGGCAGGCCTGTTTCACCCTAAAGCAGAGTGGCGCGGATAAAAGTATTCAAGGCAAGAGCAGTTCGATTGGTTATGACGTTCGGAGGGTGGAGCAAGACTTATAGCTGATATAGAATATTTCTCAACATAAAAAGTGCTTACAATGGTTATTAAAATTACTCACTACTTATAACCAGGAAGTAAAAAAAATGAAAATTCCAGATTCACATGTAAGATAGCCGGAAGAGAGTAAGCTATGGAATGCGTGATTCCGGCAAAAAAGAGGTAGTGCCATAAGGAAAAGTGGGGGTGAAATAAAAAACCCAAAGGGGAATAAACAAATAATTTCTAGAGTTTCCCTATAGTTTCGGCAAAAATTACAATTGGCCCGATCCTTAAACCCCATCATGTAGAGAGATAAGAAAAAGGGGATTAGATGAAAATTAGGCTATTTCCTAAGGATATACAAATTAAAGAATGTAAATGTTAAAATTCTTTACAAAATTACATACTACTAATAACCACTAAGTAATAAGGTATATTAAATAGTCATAATTTCCACAGTTAGAGTAGCCAGAAGAGATTGCAGTAGAAACGAGGCAGTTTCAAATAGAATAATGCTAATCCTGACCAAAACGTCAATTTGGAAGGAGGATAAAATAGCGAGAACTGGATGATAGAGAATAAAAGGGAACAAAATTAAGCGAAAATTAATGCAAAAAAAAGAACAAAAAACCGAATCAGTAGAGAATTCGAAGTGTCTTGGACTCGGCATCTGCTTACCTTCCTTCCCTCCACTCCGGACCTGCCGGTGTCCCCCTTCACTCCGACCGGGCCTTGTCTGCCCGGCACTCCGAGGTCGCCCGGTCGGCCCGGGCTTCCGGCATCGCCGGGCTGGCCGATCGTCGAGACGCCTGGTCGGCCGGGCGGACCTCGCTTGCCCTTCTTGCCCAGACTGCCCTGCAGGCCCTTCTCTCCGGTCGAGCCCGGGAAACCATCCGTGCCCGGATCACCCATCGACCCAGCAAGTTGGTTTCCAGGACTGCCCGGACGACCTTTGGAGCCCGGCAGACCCATCGTTCCCGGATAGCCTACAGGGAGGGTGTGGAAAACCGGTCGGTATGAAGAAGAGTCAGGAGGGTGGGAAAAGAATCGTATTAAGCCACATGTGGAGGGCTCATGATGAAAACACACTAAAATCGTATGCTAAAGCTTTGAAGATAGGTTGTCTATAAGAAATTGGTGTTGGCGAGATCTTTATTGCGTTTGCAGGGGCATGGAGAAGAGATTCGTAGGTTGATCTTAACAGAAGATGACAGCTGAATCCTGTTGTACCGCATCCGTACGACGTCAAACGAGGGAGGATGCCTCGTGGACGGCGTCAATCTGAATGTGGTAGTAAAGCCAAACGGCTGCAGTACGATGGGATTCAGTCGTCGTCTTCTGGTGAGATCAAACTATGAATCTCTTTTCCATGCCCTTTCATACGAGATGAAGGCAGGAGATTCACCGAAACCCAGCTACTCTACGTATCTACAATATAGGAAATTAGTCGAACTAAGCTTGTTAAAGTGGCTAAATTTTGGTTTAATAATTACAGCTAATCTCGCAGACTACTCATTTTGAAAATAGTAGTTCTGGCTCAGACACCATTTTTGACTGACGCATGATTGTCCACTTCGAAGGGAAAGTTGATTGGAAAGAGTTGGTGATGCAGTCTTACCGGAAGCCGAATGAGGATTGCCGCGTGGGGAGGACTGTGGAATTGTGCGAACAAGTCGTTGACTCTCTGCCCTGCGACCCCGATGAAACTGTGCTAAGCTTTAGTCTGTACCTCGCTGACAGACAGCAACATAGCAATGATAGATACAGAAATAGAGACGAAAGATGGGCACAGTTTCATCGGGATTCGCGGCAATCCTCCTTCGGATTGCGGTGCGACCACATCAAGAATTCCCTTCGAAATGGAGAGTCATGCCACG